AGAAAAGCAAAAATATACGTTCAAAAATAGTGTCTTTTTATAGATACATAATTGGCGACTGTATGGACGTCAAAGACAGCACAGTTAGTTAGCAATTCAACACTGATAAATCCTCCTATACATTGGCTTATAATTGCATATTCATTATGTACCAGCTTTTTCATAATATCCTATGTAGAAAAACAATATTTCCTTTTTAGTGTAACTTGCATATTCTATACAAACAAACAAAAAAAGAGTAAAAAATCTTAAATATTTCTGCAGGTTTTTTATTTTTTTCTCCTAACGCCCCCTTAATCACACACAAAGCTTGAAAAGTGGCGACGGGAGCTAAAACAACGACCATCAAATATACTGTATATACAAATACAACAAGAGAAAATATCTTAATCCGGGAAATATTTCTTGAATTTTTTTGGACAACATTTTCACACGTTTCCATTCCAAAATACACAACTCGCTAATATAAAAGTCAATGTTTGAACGGTCCTTTTTTTTCTTTTTCTTTTTTAGAAAAGTCAAGTATGCTGTTCCAAGAAGAGCTGGCGGTTGGTTTGCATTCAACACTAGATTATTGTTGGCAAAATAGTGAAAAAGTTGTTAGTAAATTCTACCATTTTTAGGCCGACCACTATAAACATACACTCACTTGGAGGTTAGAATCAACGTCTTTGTTCACACGACATAATAGGCTGCAGATGTTACATTAATCTAACATTACTCAACATTGCTAAGCTTTAAAACAATTTGTAGTACTAATTTGCTACTAAAACTGCTTCGGAGAACTCGACAGGAGGATGGTCAGACAGAAAGGCCATATGCGCCACTGCCTCATCAGTCTGCCCCGGGGCAACTGCCTATTAATGACCAGTCTTGCATATACTACAACTTGTATGTAACTTTTATGATGGAGGGTTCATGCCATTCGTTGAGAAATGTTGTTGCTTTTCAGAGAATCTTCCACAGTGAAGCATCTGTGCAGTAACTCGATTAGAGCTGTGGTCGGTGTGAGAACTTCTCGGTAGCAAAAGCTCTCAAAACTTGTAAGTGTGTATGTTTGTGTGTGTTTGACCCGAGCTGCACTCACAAGACACAAATGCACGTCTGTCTATTTCTATTTCAGCGTTTATATACAGTAAGGTAATAGCAGGTTCTCATTGTGACGCACATTCAGTCCAGAATTCACCCAACTCTAAATGCTTTCTCCAGTGGATTGTCAGACACTTTTGCGTTTAATTAACTAAATTATGAAATTTAGTTTCTATTATTTTTTTTTTTCATTCTGACTTATTTTGGTGGAAAGACGCTTGTTTGAAATATCAAAAGTTTTTAAATGTGGAAAATATGTCAATATTTGCAGGAAGGAACAGATGACACCATGGTAGATTTCTGTTATTATAAAGTGGCACATATTACAACACACACATTTTTATGACTCTATATTGACTCAGTCAAATTATATTCTCATAACATAAAAAAGTTGGCACAGTTCATTACATGGTTGCTTGCTTAGTAAGATCTCTAGTGTGATGCCATTAATCAGAAACACAGTACAGTAAAGTTGGAAATGCAAAATATTGCCAAGCTGGGATGGAATTAGTAACATCTTAATGATATGTTATTTGTGTTTTGTTTACAATCAACATCCCTCAACAATGACACTAGTTAATGCCAGTGTCAGATTTGACACTGAGACAAGATGGTGATGGGCCCTCAAGCAGAAAACTTCATGTGACTTTTATCTCCTGTCCCCTTCTCCATTCACAGCCATTTTCAAAATACTTCCAACTTTCCTTTCAGGCAAACTCATTGTTCCCCACGGTGACCTGCTCTGATCACATTCTATTCCTTTCCATGTACTTCCCAAAATGCAAAGTCACCAACTGCTCTTTCTGACTTCAGACTAAATTCAGCCATAAAAACCCCCTCCTCATGTGACCAATCCTCTGCCCAGCGACCTGGCCACCCCTTCTCTCAAACGCCACGACAAAAGGCAGAGCGCACGTGAGCTGGTCAGATTATGATGCGAACGCACCGTGTTGTGTTGAAGAAATAACATCTTTGTTGATATTCCATGACAACCCACCGCAGAGGGAGGCAGCGTGCCAGCTGGATGTGCTGCCTCAGCCTCTGGCTCCAACTCAGCAAATTGTGTCCATGTGAAAGAGCCTGGTGCCAGGCCGGACCGCTAATGAGGCAATGCAGTCTGCAGGAACCTGCAGCTCGCTACACGCCAGAGCTTTGTCATGTACTTGTGCTTCAAGGACATTATGCATGATAGTCCGAGATAATATCAGGAATCACCCCTCACTTAGTGCTCCGTGCAGAATCCGGATGATACCAATTAGCATTACTGCTATCAAATGGATTTCCAATTAGGGTTGGGCAATAAATGGAATTCATTCAGTGAATATTCTTTTGCAAAAGAATATTATTCTTCTCTTGTAAAAGAAGAAGAATCTTTTCTTTTACAATAGAGGATTCCGAGATATGAAACTGCATGAATTTCTCTCAGTTCCCAAGTTTTTGGCTTTCACTTAGTTTTGTGCAACGTTAAGTAAAAGCAGTCCACCAAAAAGGCACAACTTAGATTATAAATTCATTGTTATAGTATGTACATCTACAGCGGGCAACTTAAGTTTTGAGGCAAAACAGTCCAAACCTATTTATGAGCTCTGTTCATTAATCAATGAGTGGTCTTTGGTGATTTCATTCAAACTTAAATTAAAATAATTCAGCCGGATAGGGCAATTACATTGCACTTTTAAATGTTTTGCCACATCGCCCAGCCCTAACACAAATGCGTGCTGGTGTTTGCAAAAATAATAAAAAATCACATTCCAACCAATTCATAATGTTGTAATAACCACTGCAGTTGACATGATCTATCGAACCTCTTCAATCCCCCGACTATCTCATAAGGCACACGTTTGCTGTAGAATTAACTATTGCATGGCTACACATAAAACGACTCATACCTCTCCTCTACCTAGAGATCTACCTTCGTGTACAGTATCTACAAATGGAAGGAACCTTCTAAATATATTTCAGTTTCATAACACGACCTCAAAGTCAATTTTTACCACTTTCAATGAACCTCCCTTACTTACAGTTTGCATACACATTTTTGAACGTACATGGCCGACTTCAGACGTAGAGGATGGGAATGTCACCGCAATCACAATAGATTTGATCATTCATGTCTGTTGCAATAATCGGCTTTTACTCTAATTGAATAATGACAGGTTTAATATGGTTTACCAAATGGACGCTGGCAAATGCACAGTGACACTCCTACCTCTCGGACAGCGCAAGCCTTCAAACTTTTTCCATTAACTTCACTTTGCTGTCATCCCACAACAACGCCAACGCTTTCAGGCATCACTCCTCCATGCATGCTTTCAATTTATCCTAAGATCCAACACATGTGGAGCTAACCCGCTAAACGTAACGCTTATCAAATTGTGGCATTTCTACATTTCTACAGTCCCAAGACCCATACTGAAGCAATCCCGCGGACAGCCCTTTTCCTTCAGATATTCCGTAGCTTTGACGGACCATTACATGCACTACTAATTAGAAAAATATGGATTACATAGCTATTCCAAAGAAAAACTATTTGGGGACGGAGGAAATTAATAGCGATTATAAGCATCTACAGTAGTCTCTATACAAGGCACTGTGGATCAACAAAACAACATAGAAAAATGCAATATTTCATGTCCCAGTAACAAGTTCCGATTGCACACAAACAAAAATAAATAGGCCCACATGTAAGCTATACTTCGGGATATATGGCACGGTATCCCTTAATTCATTCACAGTTAGATCAGATGTGCTGGTTACATTATTTATATATATATATATATATATATTTTTTTATAGGCAAAATGGAAGGCAGATCTTTGTAAACACGAAGCCGAAAAATCCCCGGAAAGAGGTAATACTGACAGTGATGCAATGACGAAGGCTAATGCAGGGCCAGAAGGGTTTACAAGGCACACAGAGTCACTGGATTTTATGAAGAGCACTTAATAGTAAGAGACATTTCTCCCATTGTGCTTTAGGTGTAGCGAACGCTGTGGCATTTGCATGGAATTGAATGGTGGACAATGAGATGCAGATAATTCTATTGCTTTGGACTTGTGTAAATGGATTTTCCAAGCTGGACCGCCATGGTGGCCTTTCCTCCCATCTGCATGTTAGAGATTTTGATGGTAGTGTTGTTGCAATATTAAGAAGATTGATTATATTGAAGTTTTCAAGTCTTGTCATTGGGATATTTTAAAACAAGTAATGAAAAGTCAAAAAACTGTGCCGAGGGAAAGTAGCCACATGGATCTCAATCCAAAAAAGGAATACTGTTTATGGGTTTTGAGTAGCGTAAACTGTTCCTCCATCGTCGTAACTTTTAAAGCTGGGGTAAATCATTTTAAAACCACGAAAAATTTAACTGTAATAAAATCAGAGCTTTCAAAATAGTTTGGTAGAATGTTTGTTTGGCCTCTCTCTGTCACTGCTTTAAATCAGCTTTTACAGACAGAAAAGTGAGAAAGGACCACCACTTGCATGGCTCTTTCTTACAAGTTTGCAAAATATAACCAGATAAGGACAAGAGCGTGATGTGGTCTGATTTATCAAGATTTTTAGACCTTCTGTTGGGAAAAACACCATGTATTAAAAAACCCAACTTGGTATTCTCTATGTCCTTGAAATCAATCTTTGGCCTGAAACCCACACATAATCAATATGGCCACTTCTAGAATAATTGTGAAAACGATACTAAAATCTGAAAGCTGTCCACCGTCATTCCATGTAAACGCACAATACATAGACACAACTAGCTACACGCTTGAATAAGGAAGGGAGCGACAGTCTGACATATGTTTAAGGCTTCTGGAGTTGGCACACGTGAAGCTGTTGGGGAGAACGGACGCCATTTTGGATCTACTTCATGTCATGCCTCCTTCCCATCGCTTGGCGGATGGACAGGATGGCGGTTATTGCACGCGGCGGCAGTAGTAGCCCAGGACCTTGCACTTCTCGCACAGGTGTTGCGGGTGCTCCTTGCTCTGGTCAGACACATCCAGTCCGTCAGGCTTCTCCAGGGGGCGCTGTGGAGAAAAATGAAGATGAGAAACGGGTCAAAGCAGCCAAGAATGCACACTGAACAAAGCACAGTAAAGACTTGAAAGGCGTTTTTTTGGCACGAGAGCCCATTCCTGCTATATATCCCTAAACATGCACGCCCCACCAAGCTTAGACTCTGCACAATTAGTAACAGAGACATGGCAAGGCATCCGTGCTGGAAATTGCAATGCCTTTTATCGGCTTTAAATGAAGAGAGGCATCTGGGATTTCTTCTTTTATAACTCGATGTAATGCAGAAATGAAAAAGCCCATGCTTGGCCATGTGCTGTAAATCATAATTATCTTACATAACTTTAAATGCTTTTGTCTGTTTCAGTGTTGGAAATTGACATGTCCAACAAAAGAGCTATAGGCACGAACCATTTTTGGTCAATATTTCCAATTAAAGCTTGGGTAACTAATTATAAAACCTAACAAATGTGTTATCAAATCAATCCATAGTTTTACATTTAAAATGATGTATGCACTTTATTGTGCCCGTTCTGCAAATGCAAGGATTTTTACCTATTGTGAATAGTTTTTGTGGAAAGAAAACCGGAGCACCCAGAGGAAACCTACGCAGGCATGGGGAGAAAATGCAAACTCCACTTAGAAAGACCCTGTTCCAACCGGCATATGAACCGAGTACCTTATTGCTGAGAAGAGAGAGTGCTATCAACTCCGTCCCGCACTAGTGCACATGCATCTAGTTTCCCCATGCGACTGATTCGTTAATTTTCCCTTTTTGATTGACTGCGGAACCTTCCGCAGTCAACCATTGGTTTTGGTGTTCTTTATTCCGTCTTTTTCCTGATTTTTGACACGTTTCACAGCTTTCACATTTTCAACAATTTCCACAAGTTATACATCAAAACGTTCCACATGTTTGGGAGATTATTGCTATTACTTTTGGGACTTCAGCGATTTCCGGTTTTTCCGCAATCGGACAAAAATCGGTCGATTTTTCCCATTGACTTATAATGGGGCTTCCACAAATTCATAGTTTTCAGAATTTTCTTCAACATTTTCAGCATTTTCTGCAGTTTGTGCATGTTCAGCTTCCTTGAAAAACTGTTGAAACATTGAAACTCCTGAAATCCTTGAAACTTTTTTAAACCTGGAAACTGTTGAAAGTGTGGAAACTCCTGAAATCCTTGAACCTCCTGATATCCTTGAAACTGGTTAAATTCTTAAACAGCTGAAATCCTTGAAACTACTGAATGTATTGAAAGTGTCTTGAAACTGAAAAATCCCCTCACCGCTGAAAATTTGGTTCCTGTAACTAAGGAAACCTGGTCTGTGGTCATTATCTGGTGGTGGTCTGAGTCTTCGTTTGGGTCTTGGTCTGGTGGTATAATGGGTTCATTATACATGAAAAACCCTATTAAGTACTGCATGGTATAATGTTTACAACCTATTAGTTGCATTTATACATGAAAAAACCCTATTAAGTTGCATTATACTGGTTTACATAAAAAAAATCCCTATTAAGTTGCATTATACTGGTTTACATGGAAAAATCCCATTAAGTTGCATAATACTGGTTTACATGGAAAAATCCCCATTAAGTTGCATTATACTGGTTTACATGGAAAAATCCCTATTAAGTTGCATTATACTGGTTTACATGGAAAAATCCCTAGTTGCATTAACTGGTTTACATGGAATAATATTAAGTTGTTTACTGGTTTACATGGAAAAATCCCCATTAAGTTGCATTATACTGGTTTACATGGAAAAATCCCCATTAAGTTGCATTATACTGGTTTACATGGAAAAAACCCTATTAAGTTGCATTATACTGGTTTACATGGAAAAAACCCTATTAAGTTGCATTATACTGGTTTACATGTAAAAACCCCTATTAAGTTGCATTATACTGGTTTACATGGAAAAATCCCCATTAAGTTGCATTATACTGGTTTACATGAAAAAAAACCCTATTAAGTTGCATTATACTGGTTTACATGAAAAAACCCTATTAAGTTGCATTATACTGGTTTACATGGAAAAATCCCTATTAAGTTGCATTATACTGGTTTACATGGAAAAATCCCTATTAGGTTGCATGATTACACTGAAGTCCTTGAAACTGCTGAAGTCCTTGAAACTGCTGAAGTCCTTGAAACTGCTGAAGTCCTTGAAACTGTTGAAGTCCTTGAAACTCTTGAAATCTTGAAACTGCTGAAATCCTTGAAACTGTTGAATCCTTGAAACTGTTGAATCATTGAAACTGTAGAAATGTCTGAAAGAGCTGAAGTCCTATTAAAATGCATGGGCCTATTAAAATGCATTGCAGAATTCTCAATGCAGATTTTTGTCCGATTGCGGAAAAACCGGAAATCGCTGAAGTCCCAAAAGTAATAGCAATAATCTCCCAAACATGTGGAACGTTTTGATGTATAACTTGTGGAAATTGTTGAAAATGTGAAAGCTGTGAAACGTGTCAAAAAAAATGACGGAATAAAGAAATACAAAACCAATGGTTGACTGCGGAAGGTTCCGCAGTCAATCAATAATATATTGGAAAATATATGTTATATTGTGACAATATTACCAAACTAACAAATCTGCTTTGTAAGTTCATACTTGCGTAAATTATGTAAATGCCATGCAAGTGCTATTATTGATTTCTTTAGACACTGTACTATACAAAAAAAATATATAATATTTTGAATTCGTGTGAATAACCTAATGATTGACTGCGGAAACTCCGCAGTATTGGTTTTGTATTTTGATTGACTGCGGAACCTTCCGCAGTCAACCATTGGTTTTTTTTGACTCGCGTATTGTTTTGTTCTTTATTCCGTCATTTTTTTTGACACGTTTCACAGCTTTCACATTTTCAACAATTTCCACAAGTTATACATCAAAACGTTCCACATGTTTGGGAGATTATTGCTATTACTTTTGGGACTTCAGCGATTTCCGGTTTTTCCGCAATCGGACAAAAATCTGCATTGAGAATTCTGCAATGCATTTTAATAGGCCCATGCATTTTAATAGGACTTCAGCTCTTTCAGACATTTCTACAGTTTCAATGATTCAACAGTTTCAAGGATTCAACAGTTTCAAGGATTTCAGCAGTTTCAAGATTTCAAGAGTTTCAAGGACTTCAACAGTTTCAAGGACTTCAGCAGTTTCAAGGACTTCAGCAGTTTCAAGGACTTCAGTGTAATCATGCAACCTAATAGGGATTTTTCCATGTAAACCAGTATAATGCAACATAGGGTTTTTCCATGTAAACCAGTATAATGCAACTTAATAGGGTTTTTTCATGTAAACCAGTATAATGCAACTTAATAGGGTTTTTTCATGTAAACCAGTATAATGCAACTTAATAGGGTTTTTTTCATGTAAACCAGTATAATGCAACTTAATGGGGATTTTTCCATGTAAACCAGTATAATGCAACTTAATAGGGGTTTTTACATGTAAACCAGTATAATGCAACTTAATAGGGTTTTTTCCATGTAAACCAGTATAATGCAACTTAATAGGGTTTTTTCCATGTAAACCAGTACAATGCAACTTAATAGGGATTTTTCCATGTAAACCAGTATAATGCAACTTAATGGGGATTTTTCCATGTAAACCAGTATAATGCAACTTAATGGGGATTTTTCCATGTAAACCAGTATTATGCAACTTAATAGGGATTTTTCCATGTAAACCAGTATAATGCAACTTAATAGGGATTTTTCCATGTAAACCAGTATAATGCAACTTAATGGGGATTTTTCCATGTAAACCAGTATTATGCAACTTAATAGGGATTTTTCCATGTAAACCAGTATAATGCAACTTAATAGGGTTTTTTTCATGTAAACCAGTATAATGCAACTTAATAGGGTTTTTACATGTAAACCAGTATAATGGAACTTAATAGGGGTTTTTACATGTAAACCAGTATAATGGAACTTAATAGGGGTTTTTACATGTAAACCAGTATAATGCAACTTAATAAGGATTTTTACATGTAAACCACTATAATGTAACCTAATAGGGGTTTTTACATGTAAACCAGTATAAAGCAACTTAATAGGGATTTGTACATGTAAACCAGTATAATGCAACCTAATAGGGATTTTTCCATGTAAACCAGTATAATGCAACTTAATAGGGATTTTTCCATGTAAACCAGTATAATGCAACTTAATAGGGATTTTTCCATGTAAACCAGTATAATGCAACTTAATAGGGATTTTTCCATGTAAACCAGTATAATGCAACTTAATAGGGATTTTTCCATGTAAACCAGTATAATGCAACTTAATAGGGATTTTTCCATGTAAACCAGTATAATGCAACTTAATAGGGTTTTTTACATGTAAACCAGTATAATGCAACTTAATAGGGATTTTTTCATGTAAACCAGTATAATGCAACTTAATAGGGATTTTTCCATGTAAACCAGTACAATGCAACTTAATAGGGATTTTTCCATGTAAACCAGTATAATGCAACTTAATAGGGTTTTTTTCATGTAAACCAGTATAATGCAACTTAATAGGGATTTTTCCATGTAAACCAGTATAATGCAACTTAATAGGGTTTTTTACATGTAAACCAGTATAATGCAACTTAATGGGGATTTTTCCATGTAAACCAGTATTATGCAACTTAATAGGGATTTTTCCATGTAAACCAGTATAATGCAACTTAATAGGGATTTTTCCATGTAAACCAGTATAATGCAACTTAATGGGGTTTTTTTCATGTAAACCAGTATAATGCAACTTAATGGGGATTTTTCCATGTAAACCAGTATTATGCAACTTAATAGGGATTTTTCCATGTAAACCAGTATAATGCAACTTAATAGGGTTTTTTTCATGTAAACCAGTATAATGCAACTTAATAGGGATTTTTACATGTAAACCAGTATAATGGAACTTAATAGGGGTTTTTACATGTAAACCAGTATAATGCAACTTAATAAGGATTTTTACATGTAAACCACTATAATGTAACCTAATAGGGG